TTTAACACACTTTTAGTTAAAATTTATTGAAAACTATAACAATATAAATAAATGATAAATAATAAATTAAGAACAAAAAAGTGAGAAATAAATTATATATTTTTTTAATAAATTTTAATTTTAATAATTTAAAATACATAAAAAAAATATGTTATTAATATTTCTTTTATTATTTGTTAATTTTTAAAAGTCAATGAGAACCAACTGACTTAAATACACGAATCAAAAGAAAATCAAATACCATCCAAATAATAACATTATTTAGTAGGAGGACTTAATCAAAATCTCAACAATGAAGAATAGATTCTTGTAGCATGATGAGACTATATTAAATATAATTCACATAAGAATGCAAATAAAAAGGCTTGGTTGATTAGACATTTTATTATAGGGTTAAAAGAACCTTTAAACTATGCATGGAATATTGTTGACAAAATTTAATAGTTTTTTTTCAAGCAAATTCTTCGATAAACTTGCGTAAACTAAAAGAAATACACCGTTATCACACAATGTAAGATTTCATGACTACATCTCAAAATATTTCCTTAACCTTATTTACCTAATCAGCTCTTCCAACAAAAGTAGTAGGGCTAACCAAATTAATTTGTTTAAGAATTAGGCTTTTTAGATTTTATTTGAAAGTTTGGAAGAAGAAGAAGAAATAAAAGAATTTAAAGGGTAAATGAAAAGAAAAAAAGGAAAATAATAATAATACAATACTATCTAAATAGAAAGTTTTAAAGAGTTTATAAACTCTTCATCTCTAATTTAAAAACTCTTAAACAAAATTAATTATTACACAAGTTGTCCTTTTTTCCCTATTTTTTCAAAAAACAACTCTCAAACAAAACTTTAGAAAAGTAAAAATAAAAATAAAAAACTTACATGATGATTATCTTTATTGAAAAGCTTTTATATAAAAGGGAGAATATTTATAAATTTTTCAAAACTCTATTTTAAATTAGGAGATTTTTTTTTAACCATTATTCTTCTTCCTGCTTTTCTTTATTTTCTTTCTTTCCTCTCTCTTTAGTTGTAAAGGTATATGATACTGGCAATGACATGATTTTGGAGGTGCAGTGGACCAATTTTGATCGAAGGCATTCACAACGAAATTTGTGGTGACATAAAAAAGTTAGATAGAGGGCATTTCATACCTCCACAACTCCACAGATTGCTTGCTAATGATTGTGAAACACTAGTTAATTAATTTCTACTCAGTTTTCCTTAAAATACCTATTAACGACACCAATTTCAAAACCAAAGTAAATTTCCACATCATAGAGCCGTCTCTCGTTCAAATTCAACAATTCTAAAAAATTCCAACCATGTCAATACGTAAATGAGAAAGCTTGCTCAACATATGCCAAACCCTTTACATCATCTTCTTTGTGCATTCACACTATTCATCTTATTCATATTGATGTTATTTTTTAAAATAACGGAATCAAAAATCCATCATAATGATGGAATGAGAATTTAAGGCCACCATCAAGGTCAAACATTATATTCAATTCTACATTATGAATAAGAAATTTATTAATATAAATTAAATAATTTATTATGTAATAAAAATCTAGGATCATCATGGTCAAACATGCCATTCAATTTCGTGTGCCAATTAAAAATTTATTGTCTAATAAAAATAGAGGGCGGTCGAAAGTAAAAAAAAACGACATTAATTTTATATTGTGAATAAAGATTTTATCAACAGATTAAATATTATATTGTTTATAAAATATTCAAATTCTTTCAATTTCATATCACGAGTAAATATTTTATTATATATTAAATAATTTTAATTTTATTTCTTATTCGATTTAATTTGAATTTAACTCGTGTCATACACTTAGATGTAGTAGATAAGTCTACTACTAAAGATTTTTTGTATATATAATAACTAAAAATTAAACTTTTACTTAAATAATACTGAGTTGTTTGTCACTCAAACTAAGTATTAAAATTTTTTTTATTTTGTAAAGATGGTCACTAAAAATAAACAAAAAATTATTTACTAAAAGATTACATCAATTTACTAAAAGTTTCGTTGTCCAATAAATAATTGAGGGTCGCCAATGATAAAATAAAAAGGTTGAATTTCATACCGTGAATAAAAAATTTATAAATAAATTAAAAACTCTATTATTTAATAAAATCAAGGAGAAACGAGAGTTAAAAATGTTATTTAATTTTTAAATCTTAAATTCAAATTTCATAAGTAGATTAAGTAATCCATTATACAATACAAATTTAAGGTCCTTAGAAGCCAAACATACTATTCAATATAAAGATTATGTCAATTAATGAATTAGAAAATCTATTATGCCGTATAGATCTATGAGAATCAAATTGAAACATACCACTCAATTCTTAATTTTGCATATGAACTCTTCAATTTTTCCTCTAGGGTTTGTATACCCAGCCAAAATTTTGATTGTTGGGATTGAACGTTCTTGACATAACATGTAAAACAACAATTTACCCAACAAGATCACCCATTAACTTTTTAAATAAGACTATTGAAGTAAAAAAAAAAAATCTAAAATAAAACTACAGATAATTTACTTCTTCAATGATTATTTTGGAATTTTAGAAAGATAGTTAAGACAACTAATCAAAAGGACAATCGACAACTTTAAATAAATTTTATATTCGTGTAAGATACGGTTTTATAAAATATATAATATTTTATTTTAAATTATTAACTGTTTATAACATCTTACCAAAAGTACAGAGTTATAGCATTACATCAAGACATAAAAAAAATAAACAGATATATGTGTCTTTAATTACTTGTTTATTTAAGTTTTAATTCAAACATTTTAACTCATTACACTATTATTTATATATTTATCAAAATGTTAATTACTAAATATCTATTTCATAAATTATTGATGCCTTAAAAACTAAAAATTAAATAAGTAAAAAATCTAGATGAAAATCTTATTAAAAAAAAAGGGTACAAGCTTTCCACTTTCCTTTTCTAGTACCTTCACTATGTTCCGAAGGTTGGTTTGGTAAAAGGACATAGTCATTTTACTTTCTTATAAATATGATATGATGTGATATGATAATTGTTTAATTTTATTCACTTTGCCTTGTTAAGAAAAACAAACTGACAGAGGATAACGTGTTTGATAAAGGAAATTTAATTATATTTTCATTGTTACATAAAATAATTTCAAATAATCTTCTAAACACCAAATCAATATAATCTTCTATATAAGAAAATATACAAGAAGCCAGTTAATACCAAAGGGAAAGAAACAACACTCTTGTAAAATAACTTGGTCGACCTTTGTGGCTCCTCTTCGATAATAGGCTCAAGTGTGAAAGAAGTTGATGATCTCTTGCTTCGAGAATGTGCTATTAGGAGGGCTGGTGCAACTTCACCCCATTTGTGGATGGATCTCATAGCTTTTACCATTTGAAAATGAGATATTGTATTATATATGGAGGTTCAAACTTGAAAGTAGATGGAGAAGAGCTTGACAATATTGTCAAATGATACTTAGATTAAAAGACAATTTATTAAATACAATAAGGAAGGAACATGAGTGAATATATAGAGGATGTAAAGAATTTAATGTGGTTTTGAACCCGAAAAAGAAGGACAGAACAGGGAGGTCTAACAAAATTACAGAGCAAAATTATTTTTTCAATGGTTAAAAATAAGTCTTGACCACAAGAATCTAGTTTGAATATTTTGGTGGCAATTTTGTTTTTGATACTTTTTTTTAGGAGGGTTGTTATTTGGTGACAATTTATAGAAATGGTTTATCCCGTAATTAATTTTTTTAAAGAATTTCTCTTTGTTGAAGTTCTCGGATTTTGACTTTTGAAAAATTATATGTAAAATAAGAAAATATCACGAGGTGACTTATTTTGAACATTTAAATGCAAATTGGACTATTGAGTATTGACATTGTTGAGTGATTTTTGGGTGGGGAAAAAGGTGAATTGAATTTCGATTCTAAGCTTATTTTAACTACTGAATAAAAAAAATAAAATTGTAAATGCTCTTATTTTATTTTTAAAATAATGATGTTTTTAAAATTCCGTCAATAAATTGCAAAACAAGAAATTTTTAAAATAAGTTAACCCAAAACACACTTTGAATCTTATATTTATAGTTCAAAGTAATAAAGAATTTTAACCAAATGTAATTTATGACACAAACACACGTAATTTAAAACTAATAAAAATAAAAATTTAAAATGGTAAAATAAAAATAATAAAAGATACAATTTAAAATATTCAAAATATCCGGATACAATTTATGACTTGGTTACAACTTAATATAATTACTGCTATATTTCTTAATTTAAAATTTATGAGTTACGATTCTTAAAAGTGAACTTTAAATATTTCTATTATTTAATAATTTTTAATAAAATTTAAAATTGTAAAAATAATATTAAATGATTGAATAATTAAATAATTTTTTATATTTTATGAATAATGTATTTATAAACATTTTAATTATATAAAATTTAATATATATATATATATATGTAATTAAAAAATAATATAAGATGATTAAACAGTAAATTTATTAAAATTATTTTTTATAAAAAATTATTGAATGACTAAGAGTATAAAATTATTATTTATGATAACGAATCTTAACTTTATACTTTATTATATATTTTTAAAAATTAACGTGTAGATACTTTTAATTTATTTATTTTACTTTAGTTTAATATATATATTTAAATATTTAATCTATTTATTGTGTATTTTTTTTAAAATTTAATAAATAAAGAATAATCTTAACAAGGAAAAAATAATGATAATTAAAATAAAAAACTTAACAAATAAAAAAAAATACAACAATGATATGTATAATTTAAAATATAAAAATGATAAATATAATATAAGCATAATATAGATATATAATAATAATAATAATGATAAAATAATAACTTAATAATTTTATAAAAATTAATATTTATAGTTTGATGACATTTTATTGAAAGGAAAAAACGTAATAATGTAATAGAGTAACATTTGGCCGATCCAAACATAGCCTAAAGCTCGGGTACGGTGTTCAATGACGAAAATCGTTTACGATTTCGAGTATGACGTTGACGAACACTAATCAGTTCAGGCATCTCGTATCAGACTCAATGAAGAATCTCGAATCTCCTTGTAGAATCTGATTCTGGTACGACGAACCCTAATCCCCATACTCTAGAATCGTAAATCTCGTTGCAGACTCAACGAATCTTGTTTTTCTTCGCGACTTATACTGTGTTCGTGTGACTCCCAGTTCATACACGAATGTGTTTGTTGTTTGTCTAGGGAATATAGGTTTGAATGCAGTTTGAAACATGTGTTGGCTGATAAATCTTGTTGTTTGATTTAAGAATCGAGACACTAATTTTAGGCTGCTCCAGAGAGTAACGATAGATGGGGGTTAAAAATCATTCAAACGAGTTGGAGTCAGAATGTTTAATGCCACATTTTCCCTTATGCGTTGAGCTAGTTCAGAAACAGTAGCCTGTTTATTCTTACTTTTTCATGCAGCTACTTAATTTTGTTTACTGGTTTTGATGAACTTTGGGTTGGTTGTACCACTTTGGAACAATTTCCTTTTACTTGATTTTATGGTTGTTTTTAAGGATAAGGAAGCTAAAATCACAGGCCCTCAAATTTTTAGCAGTTCTCTGGTGAATTTGGTTTGAGTTGAGTGCGCTCATTTTCACAGAAATCTCTTTTCCCCTTAATCTATTGTTGGGCAGGATTCTTTTATTTGCTTCTATTTACTGCCTTTCTGATAAATTATTTTTGAGGAATCTACATCTCCAATATGCCAAAAGATACAAGTAGTTAATAGCTTGTGCCTTGCTCAGCACTCTTAAGTCTCAAGCTTTGTTGTTGTTTCAGTTTAAAAAGTAGTTTTTCTTTTCTGTTCTGGAGGATTTCTTATCCTTCCCACTAATTGTGCTGAATCTTTGTTCTCTTTCATATTTGTTTTATCTTCTATAGATGCTATAAAATAAATCATTGGTCTGTCCCTGTTACTAATAGACATGTGCATGGAGAAGCCGACTAAAGGTTCTTAACAGTTTTATGCTAATAACCTTTGTGTATCTTTCAATCTTTTTGGCATCAAGGATACCCCCATAAACTTTATTGGTAACTCTGCTGACTTTCATGCAGGAAGTTCACGAGGGCCATGAGTTTCATCAACAGAGTCTCCACATTGGGTTGAAAACTTAGCAACTTCTGTTGAAGTATAAAAAATAGGCCGTGTTGGGTTTTTTCCTTAAATACAACATCTGTATTCCTTTTAATTCCTTCCATCACTTCCAACATCTGGAATGGGAAAACAGAAGCTAAGTGTGAAAGAAGTTGACCATTCTGATAGCCCCAAAACAGTTCACTTGTGGTTCTTTTTTGTAGCTACATGCATCAAATTTCTCCTTTTCCCATCCTACCGTAGTACAGACTTTGAGGTGCATCGCAACTGGCTGGCTCTGACCCACTCCCTCCCTCTTTCCAGTTGGTACTTTGATGAGACAAGTCCATGGACTCTTGATTACCCACCATTCTTTGCCTATTTTGAATGCTTCCTATCCATTTTTGCTCACCTCATTGATCCCAAAATAGTGGACCTTCAGGGGGGGGTGAATTATAGCTCAAACACGGTGGTTTATTTCCAAAGGGTTACTGTAATACTTGCTGATTTGTCTCTTCTTTATGGGGTTTACAGACTTACTCGGAATCTGGATTCAAGAAAGCAAAAGTTGATCTGTTCATTGATTATTTGGTCACCAATGCTATTTATAGTGGACCATGTGCATTTTCAGTATAATGGATTTCTCATTGGGATTTTGTTGATTTCACTTTCATATTTGGAGGAAGAAAGGGATTTGTTAGGTGGGTTTGCTTTTGCTGTTCTCTTGTGCTTTAAGCATTTATTTGCAGTTGCAGCTCCTCTTTATTTTGTCTATCTGTTGAGACACTACTGTTGGGGCGGAATGGTAAGAGGCTTCAGTCGACTTTTAATCATGGGAGGAGTGGTTGCTGCAGTGTTTGCATCCGCATTTGGGCCTTTTTTCCACCTCGGACAGGTAAATATAATTTTTAAATCTTAAATTCATATATAGGGCTTGGTGATTATGTTACCCATATGTCATGTTTTTCCCTTATTTCTGATAAGTCATTCCATTTGACTAAATGAAATTAATTACTATTTGTTCAAAAAAAAGTTTAGGAATTTTATTATTTTAGTTCTTTTGTTGATTTTCAGAATTTTGGAATGATAAATTGATATATTTTGTTTTCAACTTATTCAATAATGGAGAACAATTTGGATATTTGGTATAGCCATGAAAATCATATTGGAGGGAGAGTTCATTTATGTGTCAAGGTTGTGCTATGCAGCATAGCTTCTACCATTAAACATGGTTGTACTGAGTTTTTATTCTCTATTGTTTGTAAATAGGTTTATGAGAAAATCTTTTTTTTTCTTTTCATCTCGTAAGGTGAGGATTGCTTCAACTTTATAAGTTCTTATTTAGTCATATCTATAGTTAATATGTGACTTCAACAAGGGCAAATCTCATCTTACTGACTAGCTTTTGGGTTGAATTAGGCAAACCCAAATTGAAGAGGAAGATTATTTAGTGTGTATGTGTTAGGAGAAAGGGAAAGGAAAGTTAATTAGGGCAGTTAGGATATTAGTTAGTTAGAGTGGGTTAGGATATTAAAAGTAGCAAGTTACTCGTAGACCATAGTTATCAATAGTGGCTGCAATTGCGGTGCAGCCCTGCTATGATGACCCAGTTGCGTTGCGGCTGTCGTGCCGCAAATAGCACCCGAAAATGGTGGAAATCGCAGCTGTTGTGGTCGCAATGCTCTCCTCTCCGAAAATTTCAAATTATAGGTTCTAATTAGGATAAATTAAGTGACCAAAATTTGGGCTTCAATAATATTTGAAAGTTCAAATACAATTATTAAATAACAAGGATCTAAATGTAATCCCACAATAATATTCATCAAATCTACCTCAACTTCAAAAAATCATAAAAAATCGAAAATTACTCCAAATCCAGTGACCCATATATACATTTTGAAGTCCTGAATGTGTAGAATCCAATGCAACTAGAATTAGTAAAAAACAATATCTGTAGAAAAAAATTATAGCCAAAAGAGTAGTGTGAGGTCAGAATAACCAAAAATACGAAATTAAAACATTTATTTGTAACAAGTCTAATTTTTTCAAATAACTAGAAAATATTAAAAACTCTAAAAATAAAGCATATGAAAAGTGTTTATAAATCAAAATAAAATTATAAATGTAAATTTAAAATATGTTACATTAGGGTGTGACTTTCATCTACGGCGAGGCTTCTAACAAGAAATGGACATCTTCGGTCATCTTCTTCATCTCTGATGAAGCCTTTAATGTGATTCAAATTGTTTTGAGTCATCTTCATCTTTGGTTGTCTTCTTCAAGGTTAGCGAAGCTTCCGATGTCACCTAAACATTGTCCAGTCGTCTTCTACATCTTCTGCGAACTGCACATTTTTCAGTAACTGAACAATTTTTTTTTTCTATTTTTCTTCTATTTTTTGGTTTCCTTCTCTATTTTGATTCTCTTACTCTGTTCTACTTTAAATTTTAAAGCTTAAAGTAGAAGCAATGGCTGCTCTTGCACCCTTCGTTGTTTGTTATTTCTTTCTTTCTCTGATTTGAGTTTTTCCTTTTTGTTTTGTTCCAAATTTGTGTATTCATTTTATATTTTTCAGCATATATATGTGTATTAAAACTTCAAAATAGCAGTCGTCCTGCTACCACTATCTCCGCTATAGCATTTTTGAGGTTCTCCACGCTACTATCCAGAATTGACTACCTATGTCTTAGACCTGTACAGAACACTGATAATTTAGGATATTTAATAATTTACTTCCTCTCATGCACATGCAGAACCAAAATAAAAATAAATGAGGGAAAACAAAACTGAATGGGCAGATAAATTCCAATAAAAGATGTTTGTAATGTCTTACAGTATTATAACTTATAGTGAAAATGGAGATGCAACAACTGCAATCATGAGCAAAAGATGAAGGTCACAAAAATGAGGATGTTGTGATTGTAGAATAGTCATACCAAGCAGATTAGATTATGCATGATATCATAAAGGGGAGGGTTGGAGTGAAGTAGATGACCGTTAAGAAGCATTTAAATTACATGACACTCCATATATATGTCATACATGATCAAGCACAATGACATGTCTACTCCATGTTCCCAGCCCTACTTTGTGTGAATAAGGCTTGTCGATCAAATAGTAGGGCAGAAGTATTAGTTTACAGTATTGTATCACATTAAAAGTTATCAACAAATTCAGTCTTGTTAGCCATCTTTCTCCCATTTATTCCTTTTTTTTCTTACTTGAACCTATAGTTTCAGCAGTTTTGAACTAAGGTCTCGTATGAATGATTGACAAGTAATAAAGCATTTGGTTCCTAACTAGAAAAGTATAAAGAAAACACTCAAAGATGAGAAGGTTGAATGGGGTAAAAGTCAACAGTAGAAGCCCTTACACTGAACCCAACCAAGAAGCAATAAATCCAAATTAAATAACCACCTGAAGTATGTTTCCAAATGAGACTACTGGATGAAAAGCATAAAATTATATTTTCTTTAACCGATTTTTCATGCTCAAGTGAGTGGGAACAACTTAACCCCCCCCCCCCACGCACACGTTGTTTAATACTTGTATGGCTTCATTTTGCTCTATGTTAAAGTGAAGACATTTCATATGCACTCTTTGCATTATTGATTATTATTCAAATCATAAATTGCAGATTCAACAAGTCATCCAACGGTTGTTTCCATTTGGCAGGGGGCTTTGCCATGCATACTGGGCCCCAAATTTTTGGGTATTCTATATAATGTCAGACAAAGGGCTTGCTTTCATATTTAGAAACCTTGGGTTTAATATCCAGACACCTGCAGCTTCATTCACTGCTGGGCTAGTAGGGGATTCCTCACCATTTTCTGTACTACCACAGGTGAGGTTTACTTCTGTTTTCTTTTATTCTCTGAATAAACCTGTTTGTCATTTAAAAAAAAAATGCAGCACATAAAGGGGACCCAGGTTAAGCTGATCTTATGCTTATGTTATGTCAAATAGATTATTGAAATACATCATTTGCTGTATATATTTCATTAGTAGAAAGAGAGGGAAGGTGATATTGTATCACTTCTTCAAACTTGTAATCATGCACCATGACCTAGCCACTGATAGATTGGAAATTTATTTTTAATCTTGTTAAAAACATATAGCTGATTCACTGATTGACCTTTATACCATTTTCTATAAAAATATAGATAATAAATATTAATGCTCACACGGAAACTGCGACTTGGTAATTCAAAATCAGCACCAATCCGGCATCAGAAAATGATATTTGTGAAACATTATACTTTATGGGAGAGTGCACAATATTAGCTTTAACATTCTACACATTCTAGGGTAGCTATTTCAACCTCCAAGGTACTTCTGTTCAATTGACAACTATAAATGAGTTTGATATCTGTTTATTTAACCTAAGCATTATTCAAAAATTTAATCAAATAATTCATGTTTTCTATTAACTAATCTGCAGATCACCCCAGTCGTGACCTTTATAATGGTTCTTCTTGCCTTATCTCCTTGTCTTTTCAAGGCTTGGAAGAATCCACAGCCACAGATGATTAGTAGATGGATAGCCTATGCTTATACCTGTGGTTTTCTTTTTGGATGGCATGTGCATGAGAAGGCATCACTCCATTTTGTAATACCACTTGCCATTGTTGCAGCCCAAACTCTGGAGGATGCAAGGCATTACTTTTTGCTGTCAATAGGTATGTTTTTAATGCTCATTCATTTGTTTGCCAGCTTCTAAATTCTAATGTTTTTCTTTTCCTTCCTTTTTTTAATGATAGTAGAAATTAAAAGAAAAATCAAAATATAAATAAAATGAAATAATTTCTTTGAAAAATGTTTTTGTGTGTGCATACTAATTACATGTAATTTTTTATATAACTAGTGGAAAACACAAGTGATGCTTGTGCCCCTTTGAAGATGATATTCTACTAAATATGGTTTTTTTTGCAGTAGTTTGCCAATTGCTCGTAGTCTTGCAAATATGTCCCTTTCGTTTCCTGTGGTGATATGGGTTTCCGTGAATAATGCTCCATCCATTGTAATCTGTGCGAGCCCTAGGTATATAGATTTGTCAGATGCTAGGTTCATATACTTTTGTGCCTCCATTAAATCAATTAAAAAAAAGGAATAAAAACAATTTTTAACGCAGAAAATGAAACTGTGTCAACATTCATAATTCAAACAAATAAGATCACAGTCTATCTAATTCATTGCAAGATGATTCAATTAAAACTCATATTGCTTCGTCAGTAAACGTCATACTGTTTGCCAATCAAAATTCTGATGTCTGCATGGTAAAGAGAGATGTTCTTGCTTCTTGGTTAGTTGTCAAGAAAAAAGGGTGAAACGAAAAGATTATCAAATCTTTCATTCATATCATAGCACCTTCTACAATATGACATTGATTAGGAGATATATAGTATTAGAGTTTGTGATTTTAAGAAAGTGAGAGGAAGTAAAAGAAAATACAGAGTGAAAAAAGTGTACTGTCTCTTTGCAAATGAGATTCTTACGGGCAATTACCTCTCAGCTCCGTAATGGGTTCTGGTGCATATAGTTATGGTAGAAGTGTGTATGGATTCTACATAACAGATTAAACAATGAAAAAAATTCTACAGCAACTGTGTCTTTCACTGTCACAGGTGATCTTGCTTTGTGTAAATATATCATCTACAATTCACAAAACTTAAGAAACTGTGCAAGATTTCAAACCTTTTGACACAATCAGTAGAACCACAAACTACGACTGCAGTTATCATATAAATCTTGATACACTTTTTATAAGCTAATAATTCTTGGCCTCGTTTCTGGGTGTTCTTTAGACTTCTGAGATTTATATTTTCATGACCCAACTACAGCTAAGATAAAGTAAATACGTGTGAGGCAAGCAACTATTTCAATCTTGCATAACATTAATCATGCAAAATGAAAGATAGAAGAAAATCTGTAGAAACCATTATACCTTCCATTTCCTCCTTTAACTTTAGTATATTTTTGCTATAAATATTCGCTTTTAATGAATGGGAATGTTTTTGGATGCCAAAGAAACAGAAGTTGCAAGACAAACCATTGTGGTATCAATTGATTCAATTCTATTCTTTTCCTAGTTTAGTTTCTTTGCATTCACCCAGGTTACTTGTGTTTGCAGTATCCTGCTATTCAATTTTCCCCCTACTATTTGAGGCTCGAGAGTATCCAATCAAAGTTCTGTTGCTGCTTCTGCACTCGATTTTGATGTGGTCAGGCTTTTCAGTGCAATTTTATGATGGGGCCGAAACAACAAGTGTGCCAACTGCTCATTCAAATAAAAAAGTTGATCAATTTGGATCAGAAAGTAATTCGAGTTCAGCTGTGAGAAAAGGTTTTTCTATTGGCTGGATTGAGAGGATATATCTGGTAGGTCTTGTAGTTGTAGAGATATGGGGCCAATTTTTACACCCTCTACTTATGGGTGATAAGCTTGCATTTGCACCCCTCATGTTGATCTCCGTATACTGTGCTTTTGGGATCATGTACTCTTGGATTTGGCAGTTGAGATCCATTGTTAAATCTCTTTAAATTTTGGACTGTTTGCAGTTGCATAGGATTTTCTTTTTATGAACTTTAGATGCGGAATTTCAAGAGTCAACCCTCAATTTATTTTTCTTTTTAAATTAAAACGGGGTGTTTGACATGGATATTATTAAACTATAGTTGGACTATGTGTATCTGAGTAGTTTGTGTGGGGAAAAAATTCCTAAAAAGTGATCCTTTGAGCAGATAGTAGATAGCCTTACAGTAACTGATTCATACTTCCGTCATTTTTTGAAAAAGAAAAAACGTAATTGGACAAGCATGGAAGGGTACAGATTGAGATGGAGAAAATCCCAAGAAACTTCAAGATAGAAATTAATGACAATGACACTGGATTAGCGATGTATATGTTAACCGCAATGTATACGTCAAACATTTTAAAAAATAAGTTAGGCAAAGCTTTGAAACAACATATTACATATTTTATAAAATAAAAAATAGTTAAATAATGACAATCCATGTGTGTGTATAGTATATGATCCTCTATTTATTTTACAAATATTTTTTTAAAAAAACGAAAAACATTAGTTTTATTTTTAAAAAATGGATTCAGACCAGTTTAGCAGCACTGGTTCATACCAAATTTTTATCCATTTTAGCCTGTTCTTTGATGGATATTTTGCTCTCAACTTTTTGGGACCTGACTGATTCTCAGTTTATCTTGTTGGTTCACTCTGATTTTTATAACTACAATGGATAGACGTTTGCAGATTTGATTTTAAATAACCTTAAATTTACAAAAGTTTGTAAATTTAGCGAAAATTAAGTTTCAAGTAATGTGATTTATACTAGAAAGTTTATATTACAAAAGTATGTTTAAACTAAAATTCCGCATAAAGTTTTCAATATAATGCAAAAGTTAAATAAAAGTTGCTTTTAGACATTGAAATTGGTTTTTCTTAACAAGTTTTTTAATGACAAAATCTCATTGAAAAACATCAAACATGGGTTTGGGCATGAGGAACATTAAGCCGAGCATTAACTTCCTGTGTTATTTACTTATATAATATCAAAGTGAACTCATAATTTAACTAAGACATAACTTGAATGAGATATATTATTAAATCATTATATCTTTAGTATTTTTTTTTAATAAAAATTTAAATTGTAAGGTAAAATTTTTAAAATTGAGATTTTAAAATATAAAAAATAAAAGTGTAGATGATTATCAACTCCATGACATGTTATGTCAAGCAAATTGAATATCACAAAAACAAATAGCACCCACAAAAAATTATTAATAGAGTGACTATAGGAGAATTAATTTTTTTAAGAACTTATTTGAACAAATAAAAAACCAAATAAAATAAAAAGTTTTAGAAGATAAAAGTTTGATTTACGCCCAATAGATTATAAAAGACAACGGGCAACAAATTGAACTAAGGAGCAGAACTAGAAAAGAAAGCTTGGGACTTGAGAGCAGTGATAGGGTAGAAAACGGTTAAATGGAGAGAGAGAGAGAGAGAGAGTCTTGAAATGTGAAAGTCACATTCACATATTCACTTCACATGCATGTCTTTGTTATGTTTCCTCCATTTCCCGGAAATGTAAAGAAGAATCGTTGGTCAAATTTCGGATCTCACTCATGAATTATGATTTACCTCAAAAAACATGAACACGAGATTACTGTACTTCTCATTTCGTGAATCGTTATGGGATATGAACACAAAATGAAATCTCTACAGTAACCATTGCCCTGATGAGTTTCACAATGTAACTCCTCTATGCATGACATGCTTTATCCAACATTTTTTTTTTCATTTTTTTATCACTTAACAGTGAATCACAGAAATTCTATAATTAACATATCAGTCTTTCAGTCTTGTTAATGCACTAGTTGGCGTTCATTTAACACATATAATGATATTTATAAGTGGTTTTCCAATAAAAGATAATTGTATAAATTTTATAGATAATGATATTTTAGGTAATAACTGTCAGCTAGTCATGATTCTGTTTTGCCATCAACAGGCAATGTGATCAATCCTGGTATTCTATGAACAGATCTTATTTTTCCAAAGTTTACTGGTCAAACTTATCAGAATCTTTACCCGATCTTCATTTTTCCAAATTACTATTTAAAATATTGACATAAATTTATTTTCTAGACAATTTGTTGGAACTTGCCTGAAAATAAATTACTCTAAATCCTCTGCATTTTTTAAGGATTTTATTAACTTTTAGTATTTAAGATTAAATTTAATCATTTAAAAATAGTATCTATATATATATATAGAGAGAGAGAGAGAGAGAGAGATTTTAACAGGCCTTGAGGTGATGGTGCAGGTGCAGCACTTCCCTGAGCAGATAACAGAGTGAGGAACGAAAAAGATACCCCAAACAAGGCCAAACGGTTTTTCTTCGCAGTCCGCATGGCATGATATGCATGAATTCAGCAAACACTAATTCTTACATCATATATATATATATATATATATATATATATTATACACTAATTAATTAATAATCAATTATTCAAATACAACCCCTCACCTTATTTCTCGTAAGTCAAAAACAAACACAATGCAGAAAAACATTCTTATTCGACAAAGTTTAATTTATATAATATTATACATCCCCATTAAACAATCAATAATACTAACTTATAAAGAACCATTTTTTAAATATATTCTAAAACACACAACAAGAATGTATAATAATTTGTTTATAAACATCACATTATTCAATATATTAAAAATCACACCATATTATTAAATATTATAATTTTTAATTAAATCTTACTATACAATATGTTTTTATTATATGCCTTCAAACACGTGTTAAAATGTTATAATAGCGAATTAAGGTTTTTTATTTTATTTTAAAGTTATAAAACTAATTCTCATCAATAAAAATATCCAATGCAAATTAATTTGAACATTCATTTTAATCACGTTTATTAATTTAAAATCAAATTTATCAAAATTAATTCTACTCATATTTGGGTCTACTTAAAATAAAACTTATGTTATTTTAATCTATTTCAATAAATTTTTATGTATATCTTATCAAAAATAAAATGATTCCACTTTATTCTAATAAATTTTATCAAACACATTTAAAAATTTACTAAATGAATACTTAAATAAGTCAAAACATAAAGTAAATTAGAATAACAAACTTAATCTCAAGAACAAATTCAGTATGTCGGAAACATTTATAAGAAATAATGTCAACACAACATACTGTTACCAAGTAAAATCATAACAAACATTATCAGATTAATAATAAACTACACATCTTAATAAATCCTACATGTGTGACATTGTAGCAACACGAGAAGGAGTGAGTTGAAATTAAAGCCAAAGTGCACCAGCTTGCTTAAGGAGAGGAATGAGTGTGCCGTTGATGTGGGAAGCCATCAGAGTCTGCACCCCGCCGATGAACTTTCCGCCGACGAAGACGGCGGGGAGAGGTTGGCGCGTGCCGGCAACCTCGTAGAGAAGCGCGTGAATAGCAGGTCCAGCAGCATGCTCGTCTAGCTCCACCACGGTGGGTCCCACGCCGAGACTGAACAGAAGACGCTTGGCCACCGTAGACATGCAACACTCGCTCCAGCTGAATACAACCACGGCGTTGCACGACGTGAGGTGGTTCACTATCGATGCTGCGGCTGAGGCTGAACCCTCCATCATCATCCACATTGTTACTGCTTAAAGAGAGTGTGAGAGAGAAAATAAGAATGTATGTTATGTTATGTTATGTATGAACGAAGAAGTTATCTCAACTTATTTATATATGTGTTGAAGAAGCTTGCTAGTGCTAACTTTAGATTTAGGTAAGTAGGTAATTAGCTGAGGCTATTTAAAAACAGTGTTTGTTGGATTATGTATTGGAATGTACGAACCGACCAAATTAAGTGAGATTGGACTCCACAAGTCAAAAAGCAGAGCATAAGGTTTTACCTTCTTTGGAATTTTGATCGCATTAGGGTATATATATTTTTGAAGAGGAGGAAATGGAAAACAATTATTGAATATAAAATTAAACAAATAGATCTTCTCACGTACATAATTGCTCTTGTTATTGAAAATGTCAGAAGTTTATGTGTACAAATTATAGCTATATTATAAATAAGTTATTAAATCTAATTTGATAGTCTTTTATTTCTTTGATTTATAAAGGGACCCCATTAGATATTTTGGATAAAAGACAAAATTAAACCCAAGAAGATCCCAAGCAAAAATGATATGAACTATATGAAAATTTATGATAAGAACTGAGAAGATGCATTTCCATGCACGTTAATTGACTTGAGAGGGTGAATAATAAGAGCATTATTTCATTTGCAGATAAAAATGAAGTGAAAAAGAAGGTAGGGGAAATGGGCAATGGGATTTGTTTGCGTTGTTGATAGAGAGACGACGGCGTTTCAGGATTTGATGTCGGGCTGTCGGGTTGAATACGAATAAGAATATAATTGAAAGATGGATAATGGTACGAATATGAAGAGGGTGAAATCACCACTCACCACTGGAGAAGCGAAGACCAAACTGTGACTGTCACAGACACATAACACACACTATCACTATACTCTATTCCGCTCTAGCTCCTGCTCCATGCAGCTCAGTAAGCTACGCAAAAGCTGCCACACTTACATTCCATGCCACATCATATCATATACCGATTCAAATATGTATTAGCTCCTTTTACCTTTTCGTCCAATATGTATTAGCTCTTAGTCTAACCAATGTTACGTGTCATTGCTACAATCCATAATAAACAAGACCATTTTCGTTCTATATATTATCTATGGAGTTACCGTCTTACCAAATTCCCCATGGGATATCAACAGAAGTTATCACAAAAGCAAAGCACATGCATTAAGTTTGTGACTAAAATTTGGCTGTTTTCTAGGTATAGTTTTATCAAAGTGAACGCTCAATAAGCATCCAATTTAGACCCTCTATTTGGGGAATATTTCCATATATGAAAGGAAGCCCATATCCAAAGTTATTCCACCGAACTCTCTCTGTCTCTCGTTTTCTCTACCTCCCCGAGCCTCACAACAATTGAACTCTTTCACATAAAACAAATTGAACTTTTTAGCATGGCTTCATTTCTATACAATTCAATGTTTCATGGCTTTTCGTGATTAACAATGGAAACACAGAAAGAAGAGCTACAGATGAGCACACGTTCACTGAGAATTCCTAGAATCTCTTCAGTTGATAGAGAAACAGAATTCATTGACAATTTACACTATACGAGCCTGAAGGACATTATCTGTAACACATCAATAAGGTGTTCAAACTTGTACGAGGGAAATGACTTTGACTCAAACATTGCCATAAGAAACGAGTTGTTAAAACGTGCAGCTTCGGTTTACCTTCAATCTGCGGCATTGTTGGTGACGAGGAACCAAAATTGCTTTGTGGCGTTCTGGGAAAGGCTAAAGAACAGGGCTGCTTCATGTGCACGCTGGAGGTTATCAGATGGAAACCCATTCAGAGCTTGTCTTTGGCCAATTTACCAGTTTCTGAATCATATGATGGGGGGTACTATTCGTTCATTGACATGAATGCGTCATGTTCATGAAGGAACAAATATTTTTTTTAGGACGTAATGTCATGCTCCCTCTAAGTTTCCATGCTGTATAGGATTGCTTCTTTCATTGCAATTTGTAGATAAGTAATAGAGTTTTATTTTAATGTATTTGTCAGCACATAAATTTTTAAGTTGATAACTAATTAAAAATCACTTTATGTATGAGTTATGAAATAATTATTATAAAAGTTAATAAATTTTAATCACACAATAATTTATAATCTATTATTATTAGATGATGGTGTAATTTGTATTTTAATTAAATCCTAAAACTAATATTATGAGATTTATTTAGGATCTTTAGTTTGTAAAATTGCTATTGTTATATAACAGAATTTAACATATATGCTAATGCAATACGATGCAAATTGAAAGCATTATTAAACTAGCCTAGAATACAAATATATTTATTTATTTATTTATTTATTTTTGAACAAGCAAACTGAATATTAATAGCTAATGGCCGTGTCCTTTTTTAGGCTAAATGCTAATTAATGGCTTTGTCCTTTGCAAGAAAAAAATGAAAGACACAGATCTCATGTCTCATAGTTTTTTATTTGTTTTATTGTGAATCATCTCTCGTAAAGGTGGCTTATTGTTTTATTATTTTTGGTTTCATAGACATGTTAACCATCTTTCCTATTATATTGGGCTCAATTTAGGCCTAAAAAACGTGTATATATTTGGATCGAAGCCCAGAGTTTTTCAGACTAACGTGATTTAGCCATTGCTTTCCTTCACAATATTTAATACAAACTTCTCTAAATTCAATACCACACACCAGAAGATGCTGACTTGTGGTGCATCAGATGCTACAGATTCGTAATTTGCATTCTTTGGTCTTTGTAGGAATGAAGGGCACCCACGTTAAAAAAAAAAAAACACATGAATTTTCTGCAGAAATATGTGAAAAAAAAAGTCTTCAGAAATACCTGCAAATACATTTGCAAATAATGTTTTGCAAAAAAAAAAAAATATGTGCAGAAAAATATTTTTAAAAAAATCTTCAAGTAAATCCATGGTAAATTTTTTTGCAAAAACTTTACCAATAAATTGGTTTTAAAAAAATTATGAAAAATATAATAAAAATTTTCTATTATTTTTAAAAGATGTTGTACAAATTTTTTAGAAAAAATTTATAGGAAAAAAATTAATATAAAAAATCGATAAAACTTTTTAAATATATATATATATTATTTTTAACTTATAAAAAAAGTTTTATTATTTTTTATATATTTTTTAAAATAAATTTCTCTAAAAATTTATCTAAACTTATTTTCAAGAATTATCGCAAAACCTTCTTCAGATTCTTCGTGTAAAAATTTTGGTAAGAAATTTAACCGAAATTGCTGTGAATTTTTCTACAAAACATCCTACGAATATTTCAGTAACAAAACTTGCAAGAACTAATAAATTTTTTTTATTAATTTATTTTCATAGAAAAATATAAAAAAAATCCTGCAAAATTTTAATTTTAATTTTTTTTGCAGAAAGTTATAAATTTCTCTAAAATGCATGAAAAATTGCAACTTTTTCTAAACAAACAAAATATAAAATAGAACAGAGATGATATATGCTTTTTCATTATCAAGAGGTGCCCTGAGATCCTTTTGTGCAGGCAAGAGATGGGCAAAGCAAAAGGCATGAATCTCTGGTTAATCTTTAGTAAAAGGTATACATACATGCCCCTGCTAATGGGATCAACTTTTATATGCACCTAACCTTTTTTAAAGGTCACTGTGACGCCACAAAGTTTTGCCAAAATTAACACACACACGTCTTGATAGAACGTAATACATTAGTGTAGTTTTTATTTTGTTCACAATACTTTATGCTGCATATAATGATAATTAATCAATACTGAATAGAAATCAGGACTTAATTAGAGTAAAAATAAGTAATATAAAACAGTTGAAGAAATTTTATAAATAGCTATTCCATAGTAATCATGATTATCTTTTGTGTTCTTTGCATGATCTTCTTCGCTACAAATCAAAGCACAGTTGAACGTGTCAGGTGAATGGAGTCCCACGTGGCCCTATGAAGGGTCCCCATTCCATCAAAATATAATTAATGTTAGAAGCGAAGGGAAAGACTGTTGATTCCGTGTTGCAGTGAGCATGGTTTGGTATCTGCTGAGGTCCCCTATCCATGCACGTCTACAAATTTATACAACAATAACAAAAACCTCATCCACTGAGATATCTAAAAGAAAATTTGTAAGTTTACATTAAGTGTTTTTTGGGAATAAAGAGGGTGAAAACAAACAGAACAAAGAAAAATAAAAAATGGAATAAGAAAGTGAAGAATGAATGTAAAGATATATAAAAGTTCTATCTAGAAGAGTCTTAAAAAATATGACTACTTCATATTAGATCATTTAAATATTTTGTAACATGATGTAAATGGCATATAGATACTTTAGCTAGCATTTATTTCACATGGCTAGCTAGCTATAGGTTGCCCTTTTGATCATAATATTTTTAGGTTGGATGTCCTCAACCTCAGTCATCTGGAGCAAAGAAGCGATGAAGCATGGACAATTAAAGAACGAAGAAAGGGTAGCTAACTATTATATCATTGTAGCTGCTTTTCCCGAATTAATCTACACAGGTCATCTCCTATAAAAAGTATGTTGGTGGGAATGATTCAAGTATAAGGATCAAGCTTGCTGTTCATAAATTCCAAAAGATTTGTACTCAAGTCACCAACAACCCAATAAGTTATATTCACAAGATAATTAATATGAACTGAGTTTCAGCAAAAAAAAATCTTAATTTATGTAATTAATAAAAGAACATATCATATGCACACATTTATATAAAGACAATATTCAAACTAACCTTTATTTCAATCTAGTTACAGGTCATAAGTTCCACACATGTCTGCCAAAAACATATTTTAAGGATTTCATTATTTCTGTTTTGGTAGGTTCCACATTCTTGCACTTGCATTTGAATTTTACGTAAAATGGATCCGTCAAAGCCAGAGTGGCTAATTGGACTCTAGTTACTATTAAATTGCAAAATTCTAAAATCCAAGGATGACGTTAGTGATGTTATTTGATTTATTAAATTTTGTCCCTTATATTGGACTTTTGTGATTTCATCTTTCCTTCAAAGTCGGCAAATTCTACTTCATAGTTTTCATTACTTCATTTTATATACACACTTACTCTTAACACATGCTCTTTTAGTCAGCTAACTTTCACGACTTCATTGTTGACTTATACTGATCATGTTTAAGCCATTAATTTGGATGAAACATCTCGATCTATTATGTTAGCACAGGTAAATCAATACCATTATAAGACATAAATTCAATCAATTTGTAAACCGCTTTCACACGTCTAATTATCGATTTGAGAGTTTATTACTACGTTTGGTTCACGTTTTTCTGTCTTAAATTCATGTAATTTGGACGCACGCTTGTTTCATTTTCATGCACTACCAAATATGCACTGTGTAGTTAGTAAGTAGTGTTTACTTTAAATTTTCTCATGCAATAGTTATTTAGGGTCAAATTAACTTCTACTGGAAAGAAAGAAAAATAAAATAAAATTACATCCTAACTCTCCTCAAAATCTCAAAAGAAATTATAAGATCCACGTTATTAATTTATACCTTGACAAGTATTTTTGTGAAGTTAAATGACAATTGTTTCACTTTATTGTAGTTTTACGGACACTTAAATTATTCTGATAAAAAGGAAATACAAATTAGAATTTGATCTGCTCAAAGTATGTGACTTAATTTGAAGGTTGAGACGAGCATCAAAATTGAAATTTCAATGGTTTGAACGAATCTGTCAAGGGTGTAGCACCTGGACTAAGTAAGCAACATCCTTCATTCCCTTTTTTGGGGTTTCGGGTTTCACTCAAATACTAGGAGAATCTTGCATTTCTTTTGAACGAGAAAACACAACAAAATTGATGCTATGTAGAAGACAACAAATTACAATTTGTATGAAAATGATAAATTAACACGGTGCTTGACTAATGTTCCAAATTTGTTCTCGTCTTTCTGTCCTTAACCTGAAGTGTCAGCAGCATATCCTGACCGTTGTTATCTAGGCAAGGCACACCCTTTGATCTTGCTTCGTTTGTGTCTTGAAAAGATTTTTTTATGCATATGAAAGTTAGTGAAATAATAAATTATAATTTAGTAAATTTAAGTTAAATAAATAATTTAAATTGAGTTTAAAAAATTTTAAATTTATATTAATATAAAAAATCAGATATATATATATATATATATATATATATATATATATATATATCCAATCCATAATGTGATATAATATATCTTGCTTCAGACATTATTTTGGGAGAATATTATATTTTATTTTCTATGGAATCGGTTGATGAGTACAAACCCAGATTTCTTGAAGAGCTAAAAAGTCTCAGAAGTCAAGTTGACGAAGGGAGATCAATAGTCCAAAATCAAGATATCATCTCAGCTTGTATACACAGATATATCCTCAATTTTTTTCTTGGAATACCAAAAATTAATTTCAAATATAAAATCATACACTCAAATGGAAAACTGAAAATAAAATAAAATAATAAGAATACTAGTAAACATGAAGTTGATTAATAATTAGCTTACATGCATTTAAAGTAAAATCTCAATTCTGATCAATCACTTATTATTAGACATTGCATTTAATGAATTTTAAGGTTGAGGATATTAGTAAAAGAGTTAATACAAACAAAATATTCGATCGCTTCTCAAAAGGAAGTGAACACTCGTTAATTTCTCATCGACTTTGTTTCTTATGCAAAACTTTATTTCTTACGTTTGCTTAATGTCTTTGAGACAACGCTATAAAATTTCAAAGACGTGACGTGACGTGACATTGTTCTAATAAAACAATTATTAAAAGAAGCACTATAAACACAAAATTAATCTTGAGATTAGAAGTATTAAGTACAACGTTGCTATCTTTGAGTCTTAACAGTAATTATTTGAGTTCGTATAAAGTATAGTACCCATATAAGTTGATGTTGTTAGTTAGACTTTGTGTGTAATTAGGTTAATATTATTTAATAATAAATTTTATTCTTTAATTATTAGTGACTTATGGGTCGTCATACTATTGAGACCATGTTACAAATAAATTATTGTATAACAAATATAACATAATGAAATATTATCATCTTATATTTAATTTTGAGTATTGATTAATTTTAAATTTAGTCCAATAATATTTAAAAATAAATTAATCCCATAATTTAATAATCGACCGTAAATTGTTGAAAATAAATGGCGTGCAAAGGTAGAGTGCACCGGGCAAGTTTAGGTCCCCGCCGTCTGCGAGAGTCTTCACCATGATCGGCTCGGAAAGATAAGATAGCTCTGCCGGTGGACTTTGTTGACCTATTTGTGACAACTCCCACATAAAATATTGGAGTTTTTTTTTTTTTTTTTTTCCTTTTATGGCTTTTTGTTAAGTATAAGGATATAATATTTTTTTTACCATATTTTTCTTTATCAAATAATTTTGTATTTGGTCCTTTAAATATTATTTTTATTTACTTAATTCATTAAAATATTATTAATTTTTTATTTGATCATAAATTTTGCATTTGATCCTCTAAAATGAGAGAATAAATAAAAAATCATAATATTTAGAAAAAAATTAAATAAAAAACTATTTTGTAATTAATGGAAACATTTTATATGAGACTCGTTTAAAAAAATAAATAAAAGAACCAAATAAAAAATTGTAAATCTTTTAGAAACCAATAACGCAATTACCTCTTTTAATAAATAAAAAAATTACTTATTTTTAAATTATTAATGAACAGTTGAACACTAACTAAAATTTGAAAAAACATTTTATTGAATATTTTTAATTATTCGTAAAAAAAATTAAATTTTTTATATTTTAATAAAATAGATAATTTTCCTTTTGAATAATTTTCTTGCTTAATTTTGTTTCCTAATAAAGCTTCAAATATTAATTAGCTTTTACCTTGATATAGAATAATAAATAATCATTTATATTTTTTTAATTTGTATCTTACGGAAACATATTAAACAAGATCTTTTTCGTATTATATATTGAGTATAGTTCTAAATTAATGGTTTGAATATCTTAAATAATCTCAACTACAAATCAATCGTCTAAATGCACAAAAACTGTTTTCAAATTTACCTTTACATATCCTTTTATAAACTTAAATAAAAAATGTTCTGTAAAATTTTAAATTTTACTTGACTAATTTCATAATATATTAATCCAAGGATTAATTTAAAAAATTATTCTTATTCTTACATAATTAGTGTCTAAAAATATTAGATGTTATCCTCTTTCATCTGATTTGTAAGATTCTTTCAACTAAATCACACATATTAAAAATAATAGTTAAAATAAGTTAATGCATTATTAATTCAAAATTTTAATGCATCTTATTCTATTAAATAGTATTCTTGAAATATTAATTCAAAAATTAAAAAGACCTTATTAATTATTTTAAAATTTTATGATTTTCTTTTTTCTAATATAAAATTTTTTAAACAAACATTTTCATTCTTGTTCTCCTCATCAACACTCATACGCCAAAAAATTATTAGAATTATAATATTGAAAAATTGCCAATGATTTAATCGTCATCCGACCCATTTCCCTCTATAAATGGAGCTTCTATCACACCAATCTTAATTTCACTTAGTTCTATATTGTAGCGAAAGCCAACCTTAGCTTTGTAATTTTCTGTGCAGTTTCTTGTCCTTTATGTTTGTGTGATTGAAGAGAAAGAAAACAAGCATATCTGGGTTCGATTGTAATTTTGAACATTAGAACTAATATGGAAGGAGGAGTTGTACAAGCTCATGCCTCTGCTTTCAGAGAATGTTTGTCTCTATCATGGAAGAATCCATACGTTCTTCGGCTTGCTTTTTCTGCTGGAATTGGTGGCCTTCTCTTTGGCTATGACACTGGTAAGTTTTATAATCTCTATCACCTTCAAACCACACTCTCTCTCTGTTTTTAGTTCGCATATAAAACACCCATTTCTCTGTATCACTGTCTCTGTGTTCCTCTGTTTTTCTCTGTTTTTGCATCTTTGGAACATCGATGGTGGTGGGCATGTGTAGGAGTGATATCTGGGGCCCTTTTGTATATCAGAGATGATTTCAAAGCAGTGGATAGAAAGACATGGCTTCAGGTACTTTTCATCTCCTAGGCTCTAGTTTTGAGGTACAAAGAATCAAATCATCTCTTACCCTTCATTCATTTCCCTTCTTTCACAGGGACCTTGTCTATTCTCAAGGGACACGAATGCCCTATATTTTGGCTAAGGTTCACAGGATTCAATTTGCATATAAAAAATTGGGTTTATTTCAAAACAAGAAGAATTTTTGTTTAAAATAATTAATTTGTTTTTCTGCAAACTCTTGACACCTCGGTGATAACGATGTTTTCAATAAAATAAAAAAATAATTTTATATTGTGTTTAGTTCTCACTTAACCACATGTAACTAATGAGATAAAAAAGGGGATCTCCTTGCCATGCATACCATGCATTCAGTAACTAAGAAAAGATAACAGTTATTATTCATATAATTATAGAATAATGTAAAACGTTTATTTGAATTTTTAAAATATGAAGTACTTGTATTCTTTATTTCGTAACTTATAGTTTTGATTCTTTTTTAAGATATGTTATATCGTCACAAATTAAAATATATAGAAATTACATGCGGATCCACAGTTTGTATGTAAAGGAACATAACATAGTATAGATCTAAGCGTCCAAAATGTTAAGATTATTCATTCTTTAATAAGTGCTATTAAAATATTTGTTAAAAATGTTTTTTAAAATAAGTTTCGAATTTATCATATCAACTTCTTTTAACATTTCCTTCTATTCTTATTAAAATCTTTTTTCTTCTTTCTTTGTTAAGTCCAGCACAAAAACTGTAATTAAAAGAAAATGATGTTTGATAATACAGGAAGCCATAGTGAGTATGGCTCTTGCTGGAGCAATCATAGGTGCTGCAGTTGGTGGATGGATTAACGATCGATTTGGAAGAAGAAAAGCAATCCTTATTGCAGATACCCTCTTTTTTATTGGGTCTGTTGTCATGGCTGCTGCTACCAATCCATCTATCCTCATTGTTGGTCGAGTTTTTGTTGGCCTTGGTGTTGGAATGGCTTCAATGGCATCACCTTTATACATCTCAGAAGCTTCTCCAACAAGGGTTCGAGGAGCTTTAGTTAGTCTCAATGGATTTCTCATTACTGGAGGACAATTCCTTTCCTACCTCATCAACTTGGCCTTCACAAAGGTGATAAATAGGCTTCACTTGTTCAACATGTTTCCTTTTACTATTTTGGCTAACATGTTCATACATACTATATAACGTTGTATGTAAAATTTTATGAATGTATTTTGTTAAGCATATACATATATAAATTTCTCTGTGATAATTACACTTCATCTTTTAAGAGTATGTTTAGATATATAGCTTAATTAAGCTCTTATTTAATAAACTTTTATTACATGATAACTTATGCCATTAATGCAATCATAAAACTTATACTAGCTTATTAAAATAAATAAAAAAGAATTTACTAGCGTTATAAACCATTTTTACAAGCTGTTGAAGTCTTTATTGGTCTAAACTAGTATTTTATGCCTGTTTAATAATTATTTGTTCAGGCACCAGGAACATGGAGATGGATGTTAGGAGTAGCAGCAGTACCAGCTTTGGTACAAATCATACTAATGATAATGCTGCCAGAATCGCCACGTTGGCTATTTCGAAAGGTTCCATCATCTATCATAATTCAATATTGTGGGAACTCAACTTTGTTTTCATATAAAAATTATATCTAGGTACCTATCTTTTTTTCCTTTCTATTGAATAATAGGGAAGAGAAGAAGAAGGTAAAGAAATTTTAAGGAAGATTTACCCACCCCAAGAAGTTGAAGTTGAAATTAATACTTTGAGGGAATCAGTTGAATTGGAAATCAAGGAAACAGAAGCGTCAGAAAAAGTCAGCATAGTCAAAATGCTAAAAACTAAAACTGTGAGAAGAGGATTGTATGCAGGAATGGGCCTTCAAATCTTCCAACAGTTTGTAGGGATCAACACTGTCATGTACTATAGCCCTACCATTGTTCAGTTAGCTGGTTTTGCATCCAATAGAACAACACTTCTTCTGTCACTTGTCACAGCTGGGCTAAATGCATTTGGTTCAATTTTAAGTATATATTTCATAGATAGGACAGGAAGGAAAAAACTTGTGTTGTTCAGTTTGTGTGGCGTTGTAATCTCTCTTGTTGTTTTAACTGTTGTGTTCCATCAGAGTACAACTCACTCCCCAATGGTAAGTGCAATCGAAATCTCTCACTTCAATAATACTTGCCCTGATTACCGTACAGCTGTGAATCCTGGTCGATGGGATTGCATGAGGTGCCTAAAGGCCTCTCCAGAGTGTGGCTTTTGTGCTTCTGATACTAATAAGGTAAACTTGTCCTATTTCCCTTCACATATTCTGTTCCTATAATTCTTTCTGCTTGTATTTCTTCAATTAGGAGAGAGACAGGAAGAAAAGATAAAAAAGTATGATGTAAGATAAATAATGTGATAGCAATATAAAGAAAAAAATGAATTGAAAAGAAATATTGTAAGAAATGTGTGTAAAATAATGTAACTCATTTACTTCCTATAACAAAAAAATTGTTGAGTAAATTATCAAAGTCCATAAAATTATTCTCCCCTTGCAACTTTTCCCTGGATTTATTTATTCTATAAATTATTAGTCTGAGTTTTAAAACTTTGTCAGTCTTCATGTCTTACTTTAGTCCCTAAGATTAAGAAGGCTTAAAATTTTTTATAAATTCAAGTAGTAAAGCTGTATTTAGAATAATTATAGGAACTATGTTTTGCTACTTTACATAAAAATTGTCTTCATCTTATCTAACACTAGTACTAATTGTCTGCAGCTACTACCTGGGGCATGTTTGATATCCAATGACACGTCAAAGGATCAGTGCCAGAAAGAACACAGGTTATGGTACACGAGGGGATGCCCTAGTAAATTTGGATGGCTAGCAATAATAGGCCTTGCACTTTATATCATATTCTTCTCACCTGGGATGGGAACTGTGCCATGGGTTGTCAACTCTGAGATTTATCCTTTGAGGTATCGAGGAATTTGTGGAGGAATGGCATCAACATCCAATTGGGTCTCAAATCTTATTGTTGCACAGTCCTTCCTATCCTTGACACAAGCTATTGGGACATCATGGACATTCATGATATTTATATTCATCACCGTTGCAGCCATTATCTTTGTTATTATCTTTGTGCCAGAAACCAAAGGGCTTCCAATGGAAGAGGTGGAGAAGATGTTGGAAAGAAGATCTCTACACTTCAAATTTTGGCAGAGAAGTTCCCACTCTGAAGAAGTACTAACACAAAAGACGTGACTCTTATTTGGATAAATTTATGAATAAGAAACAATATTAAAAATAAATATTTTTTTCTTATAAGTTAAAAATATTTTATTTTTTTCCATTTTAGATGAATTAAATAAGAGTAACTTTTAAAAAATTGAACAATATAAATTAATTTTAACATATAAAAAAATTAATAATTTTTTATATTATTTTTCTTCTTTTTATAAAAAAATTATCCATACATTTACCCAATCAAAATATTAGTCAATTTATATAAGTTTATTTTTTCGTATCACTCTTAATACTTGAGTAAAACCAAGTAATTAGGTTGAGTAAATTTTGGTTGTTTGATTATCAACTTATTTGTTTGTGTGATGTAAGAAATTACTAATTTTCTTTATCAAGGTGTAAAGAATGAGTATTAGATAATTTTGCTTTCTTATGTGAGTACTCTTAGCTTACCTCAAATTAGAGTACATTTGAGTATGCAATTTAACTAATTATTTGTTTAATAAATTTTTATTAGACAGGAAGATTGAAAAAATTATTGAAATAAATTTTAAAAATTTTATTTAGAAGCTTATTGAAATAAACTAAAATAAGTTTAGAAGAGGCCAGCTATTTCTTAAGTACTAACTAAGCTTTCTATGAGATTTTTGGAATGTCCCCTAAATTAGTTACATTATCAATTAGAGATGTCTTGCAGGTAAGGAAAATAACATAACAATAACTTGAAGTCATGTACCATTCCCTTGCTAGAAACCTTGAGGAGAAAATGAGAAAGATAAGAAGATCTGGGAATAAAAAACACAGTAGCCATGCATGCCACCCAAATAAAGGCATTGGACTCAATTTTATGGATATTTTCCCTTGTGGGCCAACAATGTTGAAAAAAAATAAATTTGTAAGGTTTAATCCCAACAAAATATTAGCCCATGGACGAAATTCTTTCGTTTTTTATTTTCAAGTTTATCAAAATACAATAAAATGCTTAACGCACCTATGCCATATAGGAAAGTTAATGATATAACTAGAAATCTTTATTAAAATTCCTTTCAAACCAATAGAGAATAAAGAAAGGAGAAGAGTAATAAAGCATTAATTGCAATCGTTCAGCAATGGAGAAAACAAGTATATAATAATAAGAATAAGCATCGAACTTCAATAATATTTATTCTACTTCTTCTCTTCCTCTACCACATTTCGTGTTTCTTTGAATAAGGCTATAAACTAGAGGTTTATATTTACATGTCTGTACTTTATTATTCTCTTTCATTAACTAAATGGTATTCAAATTAATTAAATTTGTCAAAGAAAATATTTTCAAACATGGGGTTGTCACTTTTCAACTTAAGGCTGAAATAATGTACGACATTTTCTAGTATATATATGCAATCAAAACAAAAAAAGAAAAAGAAAAACAATTTTATATGATCTGAGTAATCATCTAAAGCTGAATTATCCATGTTACCTCTACGATAACGATGCGACCCTAGTATCATTGAAAAAAGAAACAGAAAAGAATCAAGTCAAAAGTATTATGCACTTTGAACTTTGTCTCTTATTCAAAACTATGGCATAAATGCTTTTCATTCATATCACTCCCGTGAATGCATTGCCAAAATGGGTCGTTTAAGATGCTAGTTCATCTATTTGAGGTTCGATCTTCTACCAAATAATTAGAAGAAAATAGAATATTGGTCACTGCTCAGAACCCCACCCACATGTAGCCATACCTCTAGGGTCAAAAGAACAATACTTCATAATCTTTTTTACTTTTCCAATTTTTCGAAAAATAACACAAATTGAAAACATAATTAAAATTACTATAAACTTCTTAATATTACTCTTCTACTATTTTTTAGAATAGAAACTTTGGATCTAATCACACAATGATGCATTACTAAAATATATTTTAATCCATGGATTTATCAAAAACATGTAAGGATATGTGTATCTTAAAGGAAGTTCAAATTCATTATTTCATCACTGTATAATAACAAAGGGAAGCGAATGAGGAGAACTTTTTATTATAATGATAAATGAATGTTCCTCTAGAATACGAGTACTTTTTATTTTTAGTAATGATTTTCTTGTACAAGTTAAAATTGTATGTATGCTTTGGGTCAGTTTTTTTCTTTTTTAATTTCATACATAATATGTTTGAGAATTCAATAAAATATAAGAATTAAACTTAGAATTTTTCTTGTAAAAGGGAAAATAAACTTGTTTTTTCATTCTTCTTTCTTCTGTTTTTCGAATTAGCTTAAGCCCAAATCAGAACACTGATACTGAATTAGCAACTAAAAAAGCAGCTTGAATGGTATAAAATATTTCTTCTTCTTTTTTCTTGATTAGCACAATTCTAAAAATAAGCTAGACCCCTAAAGTTAAAAATAACCACCAAAAGAGCTTGAACAAATATGGTTAAAAAAGACGATAAAAAAGAAAGAGATTAGAAGAGGATGAAGGGAAAAGGGTCTAGTACTACTAATCTAATAGAATAAAGGTGTCTTGAGGTCATTAGCCTGATCAAGAGTGGTGCTTCTGTCACATAGTTCAATATGTTCAGAAGAAGGGGGGGTTGTTCAACACTAGAATTTCCAAATTCTGAATTCTGACGATGTGGGTGTTTCTTTCTTAAGATTATAAGTCTTTGTTTTGTTTTGTTATCCTTCATGTAACTCAAAATGTGTTCTGTATCTCCATCAGCAAATAATACAATTTGAAAGAATCATTCAAAGACAACTAATGATTAGCTGATCTGAACTTGTGAATTATTGATGAATTGTTGATAAAATGGAAAAACTTTAGAAAAGAAGGATCAATGGACAATGAAAATGAAACGGAAGATGAAAAATTAGGAGAACCAAGAATTATTTAGTTCCGCCCATAGAATTATTAGAAAAACGATAGTTTCCTCTCTTTTTTTAAAATAAAAAAAAATTTGGAAAGACAATCTTACATAAAATATTGGAAAATTTTAAATAAATAGTTGGTAATCCTTGGGTAAGTTTCGTGGACTCTTAAAAATAAGAGTGAAAAATTAGTTAAGCATGAATTTATCATATATTTTTTGGATAGTAGACTATTTAGAAGTAACCTTTAGGGTATGTGTGTTGTAACGTCACAGATGTGTTTAACGTCCTGACCATATAAATTTAGAATAATTTTTCTTCTTCTTCTTCTATTATTATTATTATTATTATTATCATCATCATTTAAATTCTTGAGAATAATTAAGCTTTCTCACATGAATCGTATGAAGTCCAAATCTCTGTATCATCCCCTTTCTCTTTCGTGTCCTTCTCACACACATATTTAATGCTTGACACTTTTCCATGTTCATTGTATATGAAAGAAAAGGGTTCCCAATTTTAAACTTCAAACAAATTTACAAAAATAAAAGCCTCGTAAAAGGAAGCTAGTTATTAATCAATTCAATATCAAAGTAAACCATAATACACATTGAAAGAGCATTTGAACTATATCATTTATATGTCCCTCAAAATAGCAACGTACTACAAGATTATGGACTTCAAATTTTAACGTGTTTATATTATCTTTATATGATGAAATTAACCAAATAAAAGGAAAATTATTAAATATTCTGCCTATATGTAATATTTGCCCACCACTCATAAAAGTACATTTGGAGGTTCTCTATTTTCGCGTTTGTTCACATTGTAACATGATATCATCTTATTATTTTATGTTTCATAAAAGTATTAATAACTAAATTTTATGTGTTTAAAATTTTTATGCATGATTTTTTATAATATGCAAGAGTCATAATACATGTTATCTGATAAAGATAAAATTTGTAGACTTTTTTAAGAAAAGTATTTTCAAAAAATGAAAAGAATTAATAAATAGTTTCGCTTTGAAAATAAGTTAAATTAATCACACATAATATTCGTAAAAATAACTAAAGTCGTTTTTGTGATTTAGTGAATAGAACGCATACAATTTTCCGACACGTGTACTTAACCATTGTTATCGATTCAACTTTCTCTCCATTGCTATCTTTTTTCTTTTCCATTCAATTGGTGGCAGAAATTTCTATATTGGGGGCTGTTGGGTAGCAATGAAAATAAAAGAAGAACGAAAATTAAAAAATACAAACGAAAGAAAAGTGGGTAAAGGGTAGCCACTACATGATAGTCAATAAATAAAGAAAAGAAATCACTATATCATATCATAGACTGACCAGTGAGTGTCAGTATTAAGCCACCACATTTTGACTTTTTATTTTTCATAATCTTATTGCGTATTTACCTTTTGCTTCTGATGATGTTTTTCTGACCACTTTCCACTCTTCTATAATAATGAGTTTGATTAAACTGAACACGTATATAGCAATTAAGTGCCCATGTTTAACATTCTTTACAGTTAGCTTATCAACTGAGTGGGGTTTAGGATCGATCAAGGACTAAAACAAGGATTTTATTTCTTCCCTTGTTCAAATTAAGGACATATTCACATTCCTTATCAAGAGACGAAAGAAAGAAAATATGAGTTTGATAAAAGGTAGAAAATTGGTGAACCAAAACCGAAGTTAGGAAGAAAAATCCTTCTCCTGTTGACATGACAATTTTGAGGCTCTATAACCATGAAGAACTTCAATGATAATACCAAGAAAATTTGTAAAGGAAGGCATAGTAGGAAATTTGAGAAAGGAGAAATGCTCAAATTAAATTTTTATCTCATATTTTATGTAAAAAGAGTCCATTCAAATACTAGTTACATGAAATTCTAAATTTAACTAAAAATAATAAACAAATATTTAAGTTGCTATACGTAATCTTTTCTATTGCTTGTACAGTTGAATATGTGTAGAACACATGGACTTTCAAGATTCTCCTTTTCTGTTTCTATATGTTAAATTTAAATTATTATTTTAAGAGTTATTTTAAATGAGAATCTATGTTAAATGCTAATATTTGCAGCTTCTTCCAAAAAGTGATTTCCCTAATATCTTGTTAAAAATCAGTAATTGTTTTTTATAGTATAAATATTATTAAATTAAAATAATTTTTAAATGAAAATATAAAAGTATACTATATATTTATTTAAAATTGATAAAATAAA